AAAGTCCCAGCTCACAGCCCGTGGGCTGACATCTTTCCCTCCCCTGCCCTTCCCTGACATCTTGCCCTTCCCTGACATCTTCCCCTTCCCCCGAGGGAAACGTGTCCTGTGCGAAATAAAGCTGTATACCGCTGTGAATTCCATCTGTGCCTCGCTGCCTCCTCCATCCGCGCACGCTCTCTCCAACATTTTTACCTATCAATATGTGAGGATCCACATATGAGAGAGAACATGGGATTTTTGTCTTTCTGAGTCTGAGTCAACTTTACTTAACGTAATACTTTCCAGTTCCATCCATTTTCCTATTTAGGTATACCAATTAATGAACATAGAACAAAAATGTTTAAACAAAATTATTCTTCGTTAAGTTGTATTGCATCGTAAGTATATGCAAAAGTAATCTTAACAAAAATAAATGATGAAATTTTACAGGTAAAATGACAGGTTTTCACTGTGCTTCAAGTTTATGGCTCTAAGTGCCTACATTAAAAAATCAGAAAGAACACAAATAAATGACTTAACATTGCAACTCAAGACACTTGAAAAGCAACAACAAATGAAACCCAAACCCAGCAGGCAAGAAAAAATAACAGAAATCAGAGCAGAAGTTAATGAAATAGAAATAGGGAAAACAGTACGAAGAATCAACAAATCCAAGAGCTGGTTCTTTGAAAAGATAAACAAGATTGACAGACCAGTAGTCCAGTTAACCAAAAGAAAGAAAGAGCACCTCCAAATCAACAAGTCAGAGATGAAAGGGGAAATATCACAACCAACACCAAAAAGATCCAGAACATTATAAGGGAATACTTTAAAAACATATATGCTACTAAATTTGAAAACCTAAAAGAAATGGACAGGTATCTAAAAGCATGGGAACCACCAAAACTAAACCAAGAAGAGATCAACAGCTTAAACAGACCCATAAGACATAAGGAAATTGAAATAGTAATACAAAACATCCCGACTGAAAAACGCCGAGGAGCAGATGAATTTACAGCAGAATTCTATCAGACATTTAAAGAAGATCTATATCCAATACTACTTAATTTATTCAAAAGGTAGAAACAGAGGTAGAACTTCCAAATTCCTTCTATGAAGCCAGCATCACTCTAATACCAAAGCCTGGTAAAGATACAACCAAAAAAGAAAACTATAGACCCATATCCTTAATGAACATAGATGCAAAAATTCTCAACAAAATACTTACAAATCACATACAGACACACATCAGAAAGATCATCCACCATGATCAAATTGGCTTTATTCCAGACAGGTAGGGATGGTTCAATATACATAGGTCAATGAATGTCATAAATCATATAAATGGGCTCAAATCACATAAACGAACCACATTGTCATCTCAATAGATGCTGTAGCCTGAAAACGATTTATTTCTCCCGGACTTCTGAAGAGCCACGGGCAGGCGCAGGGCACCCTGGGAAGAAGGGTGGAGCCTAGTGTGGGTACAGATTGGAATGGAAGACTTTGGCCCCAATTCTGGGAAGCAGGAAACAGGGAGCAGGTGAGCCAGCCTGCCCTGGACCCCATGGGGCACCTGGGGACCTCGCAAAGACCCTGTGGACCCCTCACGGAACTCTGTGGGGTGAGTAGGTGTGTGGGGACACGTAATGAGGCAGAACGTGGGCAAAAACAATCCAGAATGGTGGGGTGAGCCACGCAGAGTGTCTGGATGCTGGGTGTCGGCTATTCATTTCTTTGTAAGTCTCTCTCCTCCGGCCCCTCCCAAAGGTATACACGATGCAAAATCCAGATAAAGATGTGGTATGTGGTTTGTCTACACACATCAGGAGCAAGGGACTCTAGGAGAACTCGGGCGACAGATGCAGAGAAGGCCTTTGACAAAATTCAACATGCATTTATGTTCAAAGTTCTAGAGGGAAGTGAACTGGAGGGAACATACCTCAACATAATTAAAGCTATGTACAACAAACCCACAGCCAACATCATTCTAAATGGAGAAAAACTGGAAGCATTCCCATTAAAATCAGGAACCAGACAAGGCTGTCCACTATCTCCACTTCGTTTTAATATAGTGCTTGAAATTCTTGTAAGAGCAATAAGACAAGACAAGGAAATTACAGGAGTAATAACTAGAAAATAAGAGATAAATTATCCCATTTTGCAGATGATATGATAGACAATATGATCTAAGAAATGCCAAAAATTCTACCAGAAAACTCCTAGAAATGATTAACATGTTCAGTAAAGTGGCAGGTTACAAAATTAACCTACAAAAGTCATTAGCCTTTCTATATACCAATGACAAGCAATCAGAGAAAGCACATGGAAACACTCCCTTTCACAGTAGCTGCAATAAAAAAAAAAAAAAAATCTCAGAATTAACCTGATCAAAGACATTAAAGATCTCTACAATGAAAATTTTAAATCTTTAAAGAGATTGAGGAAGACAACAGGAGATGGTTTAGAAGAACTAATATTCTGGAAATGACCATCCTACCAAAAGCCATTTATAGATTCAATGCAAAGACAATCAAAATCCCCATGATGTTCTTCAAAGAATTGGAAAAAAAACCATGCTTAGATTCATATGGAAGGACAAAAGACCCCAGATAGCCAAAGCAACCTTGGCCAATGCTGGGGGGATTACTACACCAGATTTTAAACTATACTACAGAGCTATAATCATAAAAACCACATGGTACTAGCAGAAAAATAGACTTGTAAATCAATGGAACAAAACTGAATACCCAAATATGAGTACATGCAATTTCAGCCCCCTGCTATTTGACAAAGGGGCAAAGAATGTTGTTCACTGGAGGAAAGACAGCATCTTCAGCAAACTGTGCTGGCAAAGCTGGATCTCCACCTATAGATGAATGAAACGAGACCCCTATCTTTCACCTTGCACAAAAGTCAACTCCAAATGGATCAAAGACCTCAATGTGAAACCTGAAACTCTGAAACTGTTAGAAGAAAATATTGGCAATCACCTACAAGATATAGATGTACGAAAGGAATTTTGAAACTGGACATCAATGATTCAGGAAATGAGGTCAAGAGTCAACAAGTGGGACCTTATTAAACTAAAAAGCTTCTGTACATCAAAAGAAGCAACCAAGGAAGTGAAGAGAAAACCCACAGAGTTGGAGGAAATATTCACTAGTGACACATGTGACAGAGGTTTAACATCCAAGATATGTAAAGAACTCAAAGAATCAAGAAAACAACCCAATTAAAAGATGGGCTAAGGATTTGAACAGAGAGTTCTCAAAAGAAGAAATAAAGATGGCTAAGAAGCATCTTAAAAGTTGTTCAACATCATTAGTAATTAGGGAAATGTGAATTAAATCCACTTTAAGATTTCATCTTACCAAAATCAGACTGGCTAAGATCAAGAGAACATATTTACAGACAAGTATCCCAGTCACCACTCATCAAAGCAGCTCTTTTTGCACTAGTCAGAGACTATTACCAAGTAGCAGAACTGGTTACACACAGACCTTGTCTATGAAGTGCCCAGGCCTAAGACACAACTATAATGCAACCTCTACACCTAAGGCTCATGGAACATAGAACAGGGATAATGAAGAGGACACTAATGAATCTCTGTTCTCAGTAACGAAGCTCCCTCATGCAGTGGCGGGCCAGGAATACAAAGGTCACAAATAGCCAAAGTGCAGAGATCAAGAGTCTGCTGAATGCTGTTCCTTGGATAGGATTCCTTTATTAAACTTCTTCCACCCAAGGCTCAGGGACCATCACGGAGAGGGGGCAGAAAGGTTGTAAGAGCCAAGAAGAGGTTCGTAACCATATGGAAATGGAGTTCTACAAGCTCCTGGGAACCTGCTCATATGATTCTATGGAAATGGTGTCAGCACACACAGGTACCATGCAAATCCAGGCAGACAATAACCCAGCATAGAACTGGGAAAATGAACAAGAGACCTCAATCTTACCTGAAGAAATGTTGGCAACTGATTGCTGCTGGATGAAGAAGAGTTGATCTCCCTTAAACAAGGGGCTCTAGAGAGGTTGACTAGACTTAGTGGATGGACTTGCACTGGGGAATAGCTGGGGACATTGACAACCCCATGGGTCTGACAGGGATGACTGAGAGTATATGGGCTCTAGTAGAGGGTGGGGACTGTGTGAGGGTGCCATTGGGGATGGGGTTATAAAGGTGAGTGAGAGTTTCAAGCTGTTCTGTATGAAATACACAAAAAAAAATTAATAAAAAATGTATTTCAAAATTATATGAAGAAAAAAACTATGAAGTAGTTACATAATAGAATAAAACTGCATATGTATAAAGACTGTAATTATTTAAAATTTAATGGTAGTTTTAAAGGTTTTCAAAGTTTTAAACAGTGATCATGTCATATATAATTTTTTAAAGTTAGGAAATCTGTAAGTTGTATGAGAGCAAGGAAAATAAAAAGTTATGAAAATTTAGTTAATATAAAATATTCATTGTGAGGTGAACCAAGTCTTCATAGTGAATTTCAGGCCAGCTTGGGGCTACAGGAAGACCCTTTCTCAATGAGACCAAAAATAAAAATAAATAAAATTCATTATGGTGATTAAGTAAAGAGGAAAATCATAAATACAGACACATGAAGCAAATGTTTACTGAGGAAATTCCAGAAGAAAATGTATGTGAACAGCATTGTTGTTTTAAGTTGGCAGTATAACTTGCTGCTGCTTTCTTCTTACTTTTTCCAAATATCTATGCTATTTTGTGCTTCCCCGCTCCTTTTTATTTTTGGTCTTTTTGAGACAGGGTCTTCCTGTAACCGCAGGTGGCCTGGAACTTGCTATGTAGATCAGGCTGGCTTTGAACTCAAAGAGATCCACCTGCTTCTGCCCCCCAAGTGCTGGGATTAAAGGCATGTGCCACCGTGCATGGCTGCTATTTTATGCTTTTATTATAGAATAAAACTAAACATAATTAAATACACAATTTCTACTGTAATATAAACAAATTAGACAACATAACGGTAAAAGAATTTTTTTACCTCTTGCTCATCCATATTCAACCACTGCTTTGGATCTTCTTCAGTAGCCAAAAAAGCTATCAATTCTAAAGCAGTAAGTCTAGTTTGACGTCTTGATGAAACGAATATCAAAACAGGTTTGGCTGGAGAATGACTTCTAATTGCTGTGGAAAGTGGCAGAAAATGAAATTTCAAGGCAGTTAATATTAGAATATGAATCTCATTGAAATGGTAAGTGGGTACATGAAAAAAGTGTGGTATTTAGGTGATTTTAATTTGGTCATAAAATTTAGTATTATTTCAGGTATTAAAGGGTGCTTATGGGTACTGGAAAGATGACAGTAAAGGAGAGGTTGCTGGCAACAGCTCCAGAGAACACTGGCCAGGACAGGGCGGATTTAATATGCTATCCCAGGGTCTAATCTTAGCTGTCAAGGAAGGAGAAGCTTCGGTGTTTAGATTCTCCACTGAGAGCTACATACACATACACCTGGAATCGTACACTGAGTTCTCTATTCCCAAGTTTGTTTTTAAGATGTTGCTGCTTGCCTAAGCAGTGATATTAAAGTGGTCCTGGGGTCTAAAGAAACAGTTAAATCTTTCAGGGTGATGTTAAAGTCCAAGGAAAACCATGATAAAATTCCTTCTATTTTTGTTGTTACCAGTAGATGGAAAAATTAGTAAAAACTGTACCAGTAAACGGCTGAGTGATAAAGCAGCAGAATGTTTTCTCTCTGATTTTTTAAATACATCTGTGAAGTTTTAAGTGGGGAAAAAGCAGTAGAGAACACCAATACATGTCTGAGAAGGGCATGAGTGCTCGGTGCACACAAGGACACTTTGAATTCCAAGTAACGAGACTGAAGAAATCAGAAGAAATAACATCTTCAAAAAATTATGTAATGTACCACATAAATCTCCTGGACTACCTGGAATTGAGGTTTCTTTACTTCAAAATAGACAAATGGCTCACTGTTTTAACAGTGACAAAGGAGGTAGGAGAGGAGGGAGTTGAAGAATTACTAAAAGTCATGTTTTTTTGAGACAGGGTCTCCCGGTAGCCCCAGTTTGATGGTATTTAGATCCCCTCCCATATCTGCTCCTTCCCCCATTCCCCCCCACACCCAATTTAAAGCACTCCCTTTATATGTAAAATGGCCCACTGAGTTTAATTTGTATACCTAAATGTCCTTCAGTGTGGGTCCACCCACTGGGCCTACCAAAAGTTCCATCAAGACACTGTGTTGCCTTCCCAGCAGCCATCAACTGCCAAAAGTTCCTTAGGTTGGGGTGGGATTTCTTACCCACTTCCCCGTGTCTGTGCTGGGATTTTCCTGGTGTGAGCTTGCATAGATAGGACTTATACATGCTATCAACCATATGAGTAACTGACTAACTGTCTGGAAGACTGTTTCTTTATGGTCATTCATTCCTTCTGGCTCTTACAATCTTTCTGCCTCCTCTTCTAACAAAGATCCCTGAGGCTTGGGAGGCAGAGATTTGAAATAAGTGTCCTACTCATGGATAAACAGTCTGCGGCCTATTATTCTCTGCACATTGGCCAATTGTGGGTTTCTGTGTTCATCATCACCTGCTCCAAGTGAGAGGTGAGGGATGCATTCATCCTATGTGTAGAGGCTGCACTGAAGATGAGTCACTTAGTGTTAAACATCTCAGAGACACTTATCTTCTATGTCTGACAAGTTCTATAACTCTGTAATAGCCTCCATCTGTTGCAAAAGAAGCTTCTTTGATGAGGGGTGAAAGATACACTTGTCTGTAAATATAAGGAAGCATCTTTAGAATAAAGTAAGAAATTATGTTTGTATAGGAATGTGGTAAAAGTAGGTTTTTCTCCAGTCATATGTATGTGGCTATGTTTACAGTATTACACATGAATTTCCTCCAGTGGAGTAGGCCTTCATTCCAACTAGGCAGTAGTTAATTAACCCCAAGATAAGGTGCTACTACTGCACCAATATCGATAGTTTGCTGGGCCAGTCATTTATTAGACTTTACAGCTGTGTAGGATCATTGATTATTGGTTTTCTCCCTTGGCAGCTTATATAATATCCTATGATACCATTAGAACTAGTCCTCAGGAAGGAGGCTTCCAGGTGAGTTCCAGCTAGATGATTCCAAGTTCTATAGTTGCCTGTACCCATGTTTGAGTCTTCTATTTTGTTCCATTGATCTATAAGTCTCTTTTTGTGTCAATACTATGCTGCATTTATGACTATGGCTCTGTAATATGGAATCACTTTAAAAAAAATTCAGCTGGTCAGTCACTCATATGAACTCACAGCAATGGTGACAGTATGCACAAGTCTCACCTAAGTTCAAGCCAGAAAAAAATCCCAGCATAGATGTGTGAAACACCAATCCTACCTGCTGGGAGAGTCAGTCTGGTTTAAGGGTAGGCTGATGAGGCTCCAGTGGATGAACCCACACCAAAAGGCATTTGGAGACACAAATTTGATGCTATAGGCCTTAACAGAGGTTGTCAGACACCCTAGAACTAGAGTTCCAGATGGCTGTTAACCACCATCTGGAGTGCTAGGAACTGAACATGGGTCTTTTCCAAGAGCAGTTAGTGCTCTTAGCTTCTGATCACTCCAGTTCCTGCTGCAGAATCTCTTTTTAAGGGCCCCCCCCCCCAAAAAAAATCAGTTTCATAATGAAATGCTGCTGTAGGGTTGACTATATGCCACAACAAGAAGAAGGCCATCATAAAGTCCCACTACTAAACTCAAAGAAATCTAGTAATTGGTACAGGCATGGCGATTCATCAAGACAGCAGTTGAACTGATACCATATCTTAATGTCAGGTACTTTAGTTATTTACTATTGACTGACCATTTAAATAATATCAAATGCTTTGTTCCAACAATGGTACATAGCCATTTCCTATATAGATATAAGCAATTTCTATAATGCATACTATGAAATATAAACTCATTTCTCATTTTTTCACCTTTCACCATTTATTAGAGTACTACAATATATGATAAATCTATGGTGGATCACCTTAGCAAAATTACATTTAAAACACATGCTATCGTAATACTGGTATCATTTATACAGACAATCATGAATGGCTCTCTCTTTATTAAACCTCAACATTTAATGGATTTTTGCTGCTGCAAGAACAGGTGTGGCTGAACAGCTCATGACAGATTTATTGTTCATTAGTGTTTTGTACAATGCTTCTGTTGAGGTGTAAATAATCTGAACTGCCAAGCTAGGTCTCCAGCCCACAATCAATACTTTGCTTTTGTCATAAAGCTAATTATAGCAGCTAAAAAGCCACCACACAACTGTCACCTCACAATCAACAGAAGTTCCCATTACAGAATTTATTTTGCAGGTTATTTTTCATTGATACAATAAATATTCCTTCTGTAGTCTAAATAAAATGTATTTCAATAAAATAGGAGCGTTATTCCTAAACCTCTCCTATTTGACTAACTTGCTAAAAATATGAAAAACAAAACATTAAAACCTAGAGTATTTTAAAAAGTAATGAATTGCCTGTTCTTTTTTAAATTTATTTATTTTAATTTTATGTGTATGAGCATTTTGACTGAATGTATGTATGTGCATCACATGAACAACTGGTGCTCTGAGATGCCAGAGGTGTTGGATTCCCTGAAACTAAAGTTACAATTTGTGAGCTGGTAGGTGACGGTAACCAAACCTGGATCTTCTCATAACCCCTGTGTCATCTCTCTAGCCTCTGTCTAAATTTTACAGTTTTTAGTAAAAGGAAAATTGTATATTTTTAAAAAAATTGTAGTTTTTAATTATCACTTGTTTCTAATCACCACACAATATCTTAAATGATTAATATTAAGAATCATGTACTTCTTATGGGACATGGTGGGGCAACCTTTAATCCCAGCATTTGGAAGGCAGAGGCAGGCAGATCTCTGTGGGAATGAGGCCAGCCTGCCCTACATATTCCAGGCCAGCTGGAGCTACAGGGAAACCCTGTAAACACAGTCATACACATGGCTGGAGAGGTCAACTGACCCTAGAGAAAGACCTACTCCTGTCATTTCTTAGACCAATGTAATGTCCTACTGTATTCTAAGTATGTATCTTTTAAAAATATTTTATTTGTTATTTTTATTTCATGTGTATGAGTGTATTACTTGCATGTGTGTAAGTGCACCCATGTCATGCAATGCCCATGGAAGTCAGAAGAGGTTGTTAGATCCCCTGGAACTGGAGTTACAGACCGTCATTAGCCTCCATGTGGGTACAGGGAAAAAAACGCAGGTCCTCTAGAAGAGCCGACCGTGCTCTTAATTGCTGAGCCATCTCTCCAACCCCAAAAGTGTGTATCTTCGTACTTACAAATGTACCACTCTCTCCACAGTCATCAAAGAGGTTTCTTTTTGCAACAGATGGAGACTATCAAAAAGTTCCACAACTAATCAGATGCAGAGAAAATGTGACTATGAGGTGCCCTGCCCTAAGTGAAAAATCTATAATGTAATCTCTACATGTAAGGCTCAGGGAATTTTGTGGAAGACGGGGCAGAAAGAGTGTAAGAACCAGAGGGACAAGACACTTGCTGCTAGTTAATGCATTCGAGACAGGACAGGGGAGCAACACCAATGAAACATCCACAGTGTGGTAGCCTAAGAAGATGTGTGAAATGACAAAACCAGCTGACATGCCAAGGTGGACTGGGGGGGTATCATGGGATCCCACCAAAACCAGCTGACATGCCAAGGTGGATTGGGGGGATGTCATGGGATCCTATTTCAAGATGAAGAGTTAAAGGCAATCAGTGGATGCTGAGGGAGTGAGAATCAGTTTTCTCCGGAGACTAGCTCCCTGAGAGGTTGTTATCTAAGCCCAAATGGACAGCCGTATACACAGGTACACCACTTAATGGACACATACATTATATATATAAATTTATACGTATATTTATAAATATGTATGCATATATAACAACAATAATCAAAGAGAATAAGAGATTTAGAGGGCATGTGGGAACATGGGAGGACTTGGTGAGAGACTGGAAGGTACGGAAATGATGCAGACTGATGTATGAAATTCTCAAAAATAGTTTAAAATTAAGAAAAACAAATTGAAATAAAATCTGAAAAACAAAGCAAAACAAAAAAACACTGGACTTGCCTATTTCTTTAAAATTATATATTTTATTCCTACTGCAAAGAAATTTTGATTTATGAAATACTTGTTTTCAATATATATATTTACATTACTGAACAGGTGAGATAAATAGCTTTAGATTATTTGTAGCATCAAGACCATTATCATCCTTTTAAAGAAACACAAATGACTTAAAATGCATTTGATGGTTATTAGACAAAATGTTTACTTTTACTATTTCATTCCAAGAATCTCAAGCTTACCCTGAAATGCAGGTTTATTCATACTAGCCATACGTGGGCAATAGTGTTGACCTGGGAAACCTTGAATGTGAACTTCCAGTGGAACTGGGCGAACTGATGGTCGGAAGTTGAACAAACCCATCTAGCAAATACGAAAGAAAGTTTTCAATCTTTACACTGAAGGAAGCGTCACAATATTATAAAGTTATCCATAAAAATGATTGCTCAACGGCTATTCCATTGCTTTTCCACGTACCTGCTTTATGTTGAGCCAGTCAGCAAGGTCTCTGGCATTAGCTAACGCAGTAGACAGTCCAACTATTCTAACAGGCTTCTCTGTATGTGATGAGATGAAGTTTGTTCGAGACACAATGACTTCTAGAACTGGACCTCTTTCTTCCCCTAAGGTTAAGAATAATGAATATTAATCATTCAACAAATTGATTCTGGCTGCTGCAGGCATGAAGTCATAGTTCATAGGTTCCTATTAAAAAAAAAAAAAGACTACTACTATATGAACCAGCAATTAAGTAACTAAGTGATCCCACTTTGGGATATTAAAAGGAAAACAAAACAAAACAAAACAATAAAGGAATTGAAATCAATACATCAGAGAGATATATGTATTCCTGTGTCCATTACAGCATTAACCAAAATAGCCAAGAAGTGGCTAAGTGTCCACTGTCAAATGAATAAAGAAAACATAGAACATTGTATATACACAACAAAATACTATAAAACAATAAAAAAAGAATGAAACCCTGGTATTTACAACAACATAGATGATCCAGGAAGAGAATATATTAAGAGAAATGACCCAACCATAGAGAGGCAAATTTTGCACGATCTTGTGTTACATGTGGAATTTTTTAAAAAGTCAAAACTCAAGAAAGCAAAAAGATTAATGGAGTTTTCCAGAGGACAGGAGCGGTTTGCTGAGGGAGGGGAAAAGTGAGATGTGGGCATAAGTATTAAGTTAAACAGGAGGAGTAGCCCATGAGAGCTAATGAACTTTTAAAGTGTGGAGATAGATACCTTAGTTAATTTAATCTAAACATTCCACATTGTAGACATATGAAAGCATCGCACTGTACACCATGAACACATACAATTATTTGTCAATTAAAAATTATATTAAGGGATGGAGAGATAGCTCAGCAGTTAAGAGCACTGGCTGCTCTTGCAGAGGACCTGGGCTTGGTTCCTAGCCCCCACATGCCATCTAAGAATCACGTATAACTCTAGTTTCAGGGGATCTGATGCCCTCTTCTGGCCTACACATGCACTGCACACAAGTGGTACACTTACATACATAAAAGCAAGCAAAACCACTCACACACATAAAGTAAAAACAAATTAAAAAAATAAAAAAGATTACAGTAATAAAATAAAGTCAAGGTTTTTAAAACTGTATTTAGCTCCAGTGGTACCCACCAAGCAGATGGATCTCATCTATGATGAGAATAGTGACTTGTTGCACATAGTTCCTATTCTGCCAGCTTCGACTAACTCCATCCCATTTCTCTGGTGTAGTGACAATGAGGTCAGCCTGAGCAACGGATTTCATGTCTGGAGTTACATCCCCTGTTAGTTCAATAACTCTGGAGAGATATAAAATTGATTCTCAGGAACACGTGATCTGACAAAGGAAAAAATTAAAAACTGCTCTTTTAAATAAAATATTATAATGCTTCAAGCTACTTTTTTCAAACCCTTTCACTTGAAATTTTGTGAAATGCAATATTCATATTCCAAGCCATAAAATGCAGGATATATAAATAAATGTTTATGTTTAAACCACTGATAAATGTACTTAAGTATGCCAACTTTGTTATGCATAAAACAGTTCTTCGTATGTTATTTTATAAAGCTGAAACAAGTTTTTCTTCTTTTTTTGTTTTGACTTGTAGAGACAGGATCTCATGTAGCCTACACTTGAACTCACTATGTAGCCAAGGGTGAGCTTGTAGTCCTCCTCCTGCTGCCACCTCCCAAGGGCTGGTATTATGGTGGTACCTGTGCTACTGTACCTGGCGCTTTAAAAAACTAAATGACCTATTTATTGAAGTGTTATCTTATTAGGGCATTTATGATGAATATAATTACTTATAAGCTTAATTTCTTTTCTTAGATTGGAGTTCTTCTACAGATAACATACTGGGATATAAATAAGATCAGCCAGGGCAACTATGTACCATCTTTCTCAGGGCCTTTCAGTCTCATAGTGAAAAAGAGGAAAATAAAAATCCATGTAAGAACATAACAAGTAGATAACATGTAAGAAAATCTGGAGGTAAATTACAAATTTTTAGTAATCACTTACTAAACAGTTTCTCTAACTACATTAAGACTCAGAAAAGAGAATAAAGGGCAGGGTTTGTTCTTCTAAGGATAATGTTCCTAAAACACCTATTCATTTTTCTTGATGTTCTGAGTTTTACATTTCATATATTACACTAATTTTTTATATTATATATAGTTTACATTTTATATATATTACACTG